AAAACTCAACAACGAAATTTTGGTGAGACACTGCCTTTAATAGCCGTGGACTTACCTTTTCTTCATCATGATTATTTTGATTTTGATGAGGTGATGAAGAACCCATTGACTCTGGAGTATAATACGGTGCATACCTTGTTTCTAAACATATACATAAGAAAAGAACACATATTAGTAAATACCCCATTCTGGATCCTTCTGAAGGACAGTCGGAATCCTTTGTACGTGATGAGCATTATTATCCAGGTGGTTCAGGTTGGCATCAGCTCGTAAGGACTCACTAGAGAATCAGAAACATCTATTTTTGCAAACAAATTCCAAAAAGCGTGAATGCGAGCGTAACTTCAAACTCTAGACTTTCAGGAAAAATTTAGAGAATCGAAATTAGCTCGCAATTTTGTAGGCGATTAAAAGGAAGAAAACACTCACGGATCATCAACACATGTAAAAGGACGGCATGCGAAATGATGCCCCCAAAACGGATCGCCACGACTGCGAATCGTACCATCTTTGATGTGAATAGTGCGAATTACATCTTTCACCCGCGCTTAAAACAAAACCTTAGATATGAGAATAAAAAGACCAATCACACTTACTGTCGATTTTTGCTTTTCTGCAAGTCAGGCATGAGTAGAACTTGCTCGAATCGACAGCTGAGGTCCGTGTATAGGAAAACTCGTAGAAAATGTTGGGATTTTCAGGCAGAGATACAACAGCAACTGGATGTGACGATTTGGACTAAAAGTAGATATTGAATGCTTCCTTGCAGTTCTCAGTAATTTTCAAAGCAATGTACCGGAGTTGATTCTCGTTTAGTTAGACTATAATGAACTTGAAAAAGCGAAGGTAGTCGTTTCAGATATTTGATATTTGCCATAACTTTCTCCATCACATATGAGTTGGCAAAACAGATTCAGGCATTCAGGCAACTTACTATACTATCCGCATTATCTTAGTGAAATAAGTTCGTATCAAAAGTCCCCAAACTTCGGGAACGTCTATATTATAAATTTCCAGCCAAAACATTTTTCTTGAGACCCTCGCTCAAGGAAAAGGCCATTTTAAAGCGGTTCGTCTGCAAAAAAATACTTCCAATAGTGAATAAAGGGTAAACAGCTCTAAAACATGTACTCGAGCCGCTGGTAACGTTTTCTCAAGTAAG